CCCCGGAATGATTCCTGTTGTCCTGCCTACCCCTGGCCCGATGGCAGACTGAGCCGAAAGCAGGGATGACGCTTAATCTTGGCTGCACATCGGCAGAACCTCCACAAGGCAATGGACACACTGGCTGCAACAACGGGCCAAACCTAATAATGATCGTGAGGTTGACGCAGCACCCGGCGGGGTTGCTTGGGTTCTGTTGTGCATCAGGGGTCGCTCTGGAGCCATGGAGCCCCTCATGGCATGGAGGAACCTGAAGAGCATTGTGTGGAGTGGAGTTGGTCAACCACGGAAGGACAAATACCGCATGAGTCACGACTGTAAGGATCAAAACCGAGACAAGACGGGCATACCCAAGGGAACAGGCGAGGGAGAGTCCCAAAGAAGGGAGGGCCAGGGTGCAAAGATGACGAGGCAGCAGAGGGTTGATCGAAAGCTGCAAGCCGGAGGAGCGAATTCGGTGAGGTGGAGTGGGATAGAATGGGGCGCGGGGTATGGGTGGGTGTTGATAAAGTTGATGGGCTGCAATGTAAACTTCCCTCCTAATTCGCAATGAAAAGTTCATTGATAACAAGAAAAATATTTGGTGGGTATTCACAGTGTACTTCCTCGTGGGGTACACATTGGGCTGGCAACCACGAGATCATCGGTTCGAGACCACCAGCTGCTCTTTGGGGAGGGAAATGAGGCTTTCTACTCTGGTAGAGACTTACAGTCTCAGAAATCCCCCGGCAATTCTACTCTGTCCTATATTGTGGTGAGGCATGGCAGTCGACTGGATGGCAGTGAGGTTGTTTTAGATGAACAATGTAAGCAAGGCATGCTGGTGGTTCAGGTAGGTAAGGGTTGAGCTGCTAACCAAGAGGCCAGCAGTTCAAATCCACCAACCTATCAAAGGGGAAAAGATAAGGCGGTTTGCTCCCCTAAAGATTTACAGCAGCACAACGCCCAAGGGGAAAGTTCTGGTCTGCCCTATAGGGTTGCATGAGTTGCGACGACTTGGTGGTGGGGGGTGAATGGGGTCTCCAGGTAAGTCTACGTTTCTCCAGCAGGCTCTTGCTAATATGGTGTGTTACCCACATTTCAAGGTCTTTCCAGTCGCTTGGCGAAACATGGCATTTCAGTGTCCTTTCAATTTACCGTTCTCTGCCTCTGCCTTTATCGGGGAGCTATGCATACAGCTGACCCCTGAACAACATGGGTGGAACGGTGTTGGTCCAGTTAGATATGGATTTTAAAGCTGGTTTATTGGCATGTAATTTACATAGCATATAATCCAATGGTTGAATTCCATGAAAAAGGGGTGTATAATCATCACTACAATCCATTTGAGAACATGGTCTTCTTTCTCGTACTCATTGTTATTAGCTCCCAATTTCCTCCAACCTCCCTGCCAGGCCCCCAAGAGACCATTAGTCCAGTTGCTGTCTCTACAGATTTACCCAGCCTGGATTTCATATACAGAAGATAGCTGTGGATCTTTTTTTAGAAACAAGTGATGCTAATCATCTCCCTGTGAACAGCTCATCTCTCCAGCAAATTGTTGGGCCTAGGGGAGGGGAGGCAGAGATGGGCTTTTAAAAATCCTGTGACCCAGGCCAATCTGATTAGAATCTCTTTGGGGTAGGACCCAGGCATCAGCACCTTTTAAAGCCCTCTCCCCACTACATTCCAAGATAGCGGGCTCTGGGCTAAGGCCCTTAGCTTCTTACCTGGTGTCTTGGAGACGGTATGGGGCTTGGCACCCATGTTCCTCCATCTCTGTTCTGATTATCCTGCTCCATTTTGTTGGAGAGCCCTGGTGGCTTAGTGGCTTGTGCATCAGGCTGCTAGCTGCAAGGTCAGTGGTTAGAAACCACTCTTCGGGAGGAGGCCGAGCTCTCTACTCCTGAAAAGAGTTGCTGTCAAGTCAACCCACAGGCGCAGTTCTACCCTGTCCTATAGGGTCACTCCGGATGGCAGGGAGTTTGGGGGTTTTGGATTGTTTAGCCTTTGGCTGAGATGTGAAGACACTAATCCAGTCTCATTAAAAACACCATGGCAACCCATGTTCACATTGGATTAGAATCACAGGCAAAGAGGTTAAGATTTACAACACACGTTTTAGAGGGAAACACCACTCCATCTGTAACTGGTGTATGAAATATCAGAGGGAGCATTACCTAAGGAACAGTAGATGCTAGGTGAATCGGGGTGGGGGCGCTAGGAGGTTGGAGAATGGTGGATGGAGGAGGTGGGGAAACGTCACTGTGATGAACTCTTCATCTGTTTTGAATTTTGAATCAGGCAAAGGTATTACTATTACACTCAATTAGAAGAGTGTGAGTTTGAAAGACAAAAGTCGAGTTCTATTTTAAGGCATAGGATAGGGTAGCGGGGATTATGAGTAGATATGATGACTCCCCTCTGTATTAGAGCTTACATTCTGAGCACCCCTGTTTGAAGAAGGTTATAGATGACAATGACAGCCCCAAATCCATTTGCCCAGTCCCCACGGGGATTAAGCCTCCACTGAATTCCTCCTGATCATTAACCAAGGATATGGATAATCTTGGCTTCCCACAGAGAGCCTTGGAAAGTAGATCACCCCTCTCCAGCCAGCCCAGGGAGGGGCATTCTATCTTCAGAGCTTGCCTGGGCGTGTTCTTGATGGAGATCACTATACTGGGGACAGCGCAGGGGTCGCAGAGTCCTGAGTCATGCCCTATCAGTCTTGCCCAGACTGCCTTGGCCAGGAGGCCCTGAACGAATCTCGTAAGCTCACCTATCTAACAATGGACATGTCCCAAGGGTGGCCCCATTCCTGCTTGCTTCTGTCATCCCACCTGCCACTGTGATGTATTGATCTGCCACCAATCAGGCTTTGGTGGCCGTTCCCTTTGCTCTTTGCCTTATTTAACCAGCGTCCGGTAAGTCCTTGGGCCCTGAGATGACTCTGCTCATGGCCTCAGCTGGGCGATGTGTCTGTATCTCTGTGTTGTCTTGGCCCCGTTGGAAGACTTTAATAAATGTTCTCCCTGAATTATATTTGAGCTTCGGGGTCTCGCTGGTCCCCTGAAACAACCCTCAGAGGAGAGTAATAGAAACTCTCTCTGGGGTGGAGGATGGGCCTGGAGGGAGAAAATGCGAGACTCAAGCTCTAAGTAGGGGAGCACCCAGCCACGCCGCTCCTGCGTTTGCATCTTGGGAAGGGCGCTGGGTTGGGCATCTTTCCCGAAAGGGTTGGCCATTTAAAGACAGGTAGGACTGAAGCCACGTGTTGTACCCTACATTTTGCCAAGGCATTGCCGCCATGGACTAGAAATGGCAGCCTGGTTTACTGTCAGAAAAAGGATTTGAGCCCCAACCCTCACGACCAGCCTAGACTAGAGCTGGGTGAGAAAGATGCCCTGGGAGAAAAGATGGAAAGGGGGGTCTGTAGCCTGGAATTGCTTCTGTGGTTTAAATGATTTCCTTCTTGAGCTGCTAACCTGGGGCTGGGTGGTGGACGTGAAGATGGAGGTGGGGAGGCCCTAGCCATTTACTTCCAGGAAAACCAGCCCTTGAAAACCCCACGGAGCCTTTCTCTGACAGGACGGCCCCGCGTTGCCCTGAGCCTGAGTCCACTCGGTGGCACATGGCTGGGAAGAGTGCCCAATACAGACACAGAAGACCCCACCCAGGGCTCACCATCCAGTGGCTTGCCGACCATGCAGGAGAGAAAGACAAGCTCCCCCCAAAGCTTGGGGCAGAGGAGGCCACCCTTGGAGAAGCTGGCATTGGGATGACCTTGGGCCATGGTCAGGAGGCTTCACCTTCCTCCTTTATAGCTGGACATCAGAGTCTACAGTCTGATCCCTCTTGCTCTCATGCCCCCCCTTTGCCACCACCCCTGCCCACCCCTCCCTGAGCTGGCTCTCAGCCCCACACACCTCTGCTTTGGGTCTTCCCCCCTGTCTCCGTCACTCCTGTCCCCAGAGCCAGTATGTGGGTTTGGGAGTGGACGGACCAGGGTTGGACAGGCACTCTTCCCCGCCCACCAAGTGCCCACTAGTCTGTGGTCACCAAGCCCCACGTGACTGATGGTGGCAGATGTTTCCTGCCCTCAGGAGGGTGCCATGTCACTGCCCAGGCCCAGCCCAGAGCTTCCATCTCCTGCCAAGCCATGGGCCCCAACTTGCTCCTGCTGCTGCTCCTGGCACTCCAAGGTAAGTTTCCCCCAGGCTCCAGGATGGGCGGCACACATACCACAGGGCCCAGAACATGGGCCTCTCGGTCCCAGTGGTCTCAGCCCCTCCCCTGCATGCCCCCTTCTGTCCTTCCCTAGGTCCAGCCTCGGAGGGCATCCTCCCTGAGGTGCTGCAGGTGACCGAGGGGGGCTACATCCAGGTGCAGTGCCACTACCTGCTCCAGCACCTCAGGGCCCCGAAGGTGTGGTGCCGGTTCCTGCCTGAGGGCTGCCAGCCCCTGCTGTCCTCCAAGGTGGACCGCAGGGCCCCAGGCGATGGGCGCTCCTTTCTCACGGACCTGGGCGGGGGGCTGCTCCAGGTGGAGATGGTCTCCCTGCGGGAGGAGGACTCGGGCGACTATGGCTGCGTGGTGGAGGGGCCGGAGGGGCCGCAGATCGTGCGCCGCGTGTCGCTGAAGGTGCTCCCGCCAGGTGCGTTACTACGTGCTAGCTGTCCGAACTCCTCACCGCCCGTCCCGGCCCCTTCAGCGCCAGAGCTCTTGGGCTCCCCTCCATGCTCCCCCCCGGGGTGAGGGCTTGGGCTCCTCAGAGAAGCAATGGGGGGACACACCCCTTCCCCAGCGCTGCGGGGAACCGGAAACCACTCCGGCTGGGAAGCCGATGATAAACCAGCCGCGGGGCACCCCCCTACCCAGGTCCCCCAGAAGTGGCTTCCCTACAGGATACGCTGCCCCGCCCCCACCCCACCCCCCTAGGCCTCCGCTTCGCTTCCAGCACTTTCTACACCCTTAAAGCATCTGCTTTTTCACTTAGCCTTGCTTTCAACCACGCTACTGTTCAAGCATAGAAACTGAGTTACTTTTCAAAGTGTCTTCCAGTATTTCACTTGTGAACTATGCGTGATGGCTCAGGGCACCGGATCCGTGTCTTATTTAAGTCCCTGCATCTTCCCTGAGCATCTATCTAGTCTGAGCCTGGCCCATAGGCAGGGAGTGGGGCGGCTTCCATTCCTGGGCTCTTCTACCTCCTTCAGTTTTCAGAAGTGCGGACAGTCTCCCCAGTAGCTAGGGCAATCCTCCCACCCTCTTCTCAGCATAGGCGACGTTCCCTTCTTCCCGTCTCAATTCTCACACACGACAGCTTGCCCGTGTCTACACCAGTATGAAAAGAAATATTTACAAGAGTAAACAAAACAAAACTTTCAGACAAATGGAAGGATGTTGTACAAGATCTTGAAAGATCCCTGGAGGTTCTGTGGGAGGCCTGGTGGATGGTGGGTGATGGGAGTTTGGGCTGCTAACTGCAAGGGCAGCTCTTCGAAACCACGGGCTGCTCCTGGGGAGAAAGATGAGGCTTCCCACTCGTGCAAAAAAAAAAAAAAAGTTGCAGTGTGAGAAACCCACACGCCCGTGGGGGGCGGTTCTGTTCTGTCCTACAGGGTCACCATGCTTTGGAATGCCCTCAATGGCAGTGAGTTTTCTTTGGTGTTTTCGTGGTGCGGTGGCTTAGGCAGTGGGCTGTGGATCCAAAAGGTCGGTGGCTCAAAACCACCAGCTACTCCGTGGGAGCAAGACGAGGCTGTCTGCCTGCTCTGCTCAAGTTGGGAGTCTTGGACAGACTACATGGGGTTGCTAGGGGTTCGAATCTACTCCACGACACCCGTTTGGTTGGTGTGTTTGGGGGTTTGTTCGTTTTTTATTTTTAATGTTCAATTCTTGGGAAAAGGTGCTTGGAGGTAAAATGGCCAGCTCCACCTGCTCCTCTATTCCTTGGGTGGACACGGACCTCTGTTGATCTGGTTTGTAGGCCTTTCTTTTCACCCAAGTAATCTGCATACAGTCCCCAAACATTGAAATGAAGAGTGTTTCCATGTTCCTGCCTTTCCCCCCTCTCCCGTGAAACACGAGGGTTCGTTTGAGCTTCCATCAGACGCCTTTCCGAGCCCATGATGAATAGAGCATCTTACAAATCTCCTCTTGTAGATCGGGAACCATCCTTCATCCTTAGTCTTCGACACACTAGAGGCTGCGTGATACCTACCTTGTTTCTTTGACACTCAGATCCACGAAAAACCAAGCTCACTGCCACCACGTCGATGCTGACTCACCGTGACCCTATAGGACAGGGTGGAATGCCCCTGTGGCCTTCCAAAACTGTCACTGTTTACGGGAGTAGAAAGCCTCGTCTTTCTCCCAAGGAGCCACTGGTGGTTTCCAACCGCTGACCTTGTAGATCGCAGCCCCAACATGTAACCATGATACCACCAGGCCTCTGATATCAAACTGAAAAGTCAATGTGACTGAGTGTGATGCGCCAGAAAACGGGCAGGGACCTGGAGCTCCCGTCCACTGCTATGGGGCTGTAAGAGGGGTGTTTGGATAGGCAAGTAGAACCTGGGAACCAGGGAGAAGGTGGGAGTAGCTCGGGCGAGCATTTGACTCAGAGGCGGCTCTAGGTGACCCACTAGGCAGCAGGGAGTGGCCTAAAGCATTTTGGGTTGCTGGTGTGCTGTAGGGTGGGGGTAGAATGATGCCTCTCAGGAACAAGGCACTCACCCCTCCCTTCTGCCCAAGCCGAGGGCCTGGGAGGACTGGCCAGGTTCCCAAGACAGACCCTCAGATCCAGTGAGGGCAATGCTAGGTCCCAGAGCCAGAAGATAAGGAGGTTCGAGGAACATCGGGCACCCTATTGCCACAGAGCCGAGTCGCAGAGTCAGAGCGAGGCTCCCAGCAAGGACCAACTGGTGCTGCACCCACCCTTCCAGTCAACCCTCTAGCCATGGGGTCAATTCCGACTCACAGCAGCGCTATGGGACAGGGCCGAGAGGCTCCCAGGGTCTCAATGGCTGCCATCTTTATGGAAACAGTCTGCCGCCTCAGTCTCTTGGGGATGGCTGGGGGTTCAAACAACCGAATGCTTAACCACATTGCTGCCGGCTCTCCTCTCCTTCAATCTGGAGGGCAGAGCTCCACTGGGGCTCAGCCAGGCTCTGGGTAGGGTCACATGGCTGCAGCTGGCACGGGATGGAGGAGAGGCCTTCTGAGAGCCTCGAGAGATGAGAGCCAAGACCCTCATTGGGCAGGTGCACCAACCAAAAGGCTGGCATGTCAAATCCATGGCAGAAAGACCTGGTGATCTGTCCTGCAAAGCTGACAGCCTAGGGAGCCCCATGGGGCAGTTTTGCTCCAGCCTCTAGGGTGGCTATGCATTAGAATTGACTTGGTGGCAGACACTGAATACCAGGCATGAAGAGCAAGGGCCGTTCCCTGGTCCCGAGGGAGGAGCGTCCAAGGCTCTCCTTCCTCGGGTCCACACCCCAGCCCCTCGGACCTCCACATTGGCCTGTGTCCACTCATGTTTCCCCCGCTCAGCTCCTCGCCTGAGAGAAGAGGAGACCAACAGGACCGACACTGTGGCTGACGATTCCTCCTCAGGCCTTCTGGGCAGTGCCAGCCCAGAAACTAGCCTGGATACAAAGAGGTACTGATTAGAATTGTGTTTGGGGTGGCCGGGAGGATGGGGGCGGGGGGAGGTCTGACTGGTTAAAGCCCCAGATGACATCCAAGAGGGGGCCCTTCCCATGCCTTCCACCCTGGCGAGCCTCAGAAGAGGCAGACCTCTCCACCCCAGCTCGGCGATGGGTGCGTCTTCAGTCATCTGGGGATCTCATCTGGGGGTCTCAGCCATCTCATGTGCAGCCCCAAGAAGGCACATCTCGTCTGCCCTGGCGCAGCCTGCCTGCCTCATTCCAGTCCCCATCCTCCTTTCTCCCAAACGTGGCTCATCAGGAGTGTGATCTTTCATGCCAGGGCTAATCCAGCTGTCCCTTTCTGCCTCTCAGCATCCCACTGATCTGGGGCGCTGTGGTCCTGCTGGGCCTGCTGGTGGTGGCGGTCATTCTGTTCGCTGTGATGGCCAAAAGGAGAGGTAGGTAGCTGTCTATTCACCTGTCCAGCCTGGTCCCCCTGCTTGTGTGTCAACGAGCTTTGCAGGCTTGGCTGGGAGTCCAGGTCTGCTCCCCTACAAATGAGTTGTTAGACTTTAGTCAAGGCCTCCACACTCCAGGGTTCATATGGCGGAGGGAGGGAGGGAAGATTCGGGGGGCACAGGTCTGGGGAAAGAAAGGCATTGGCAATGGGATTGGGGGAGATAGGGAGCCAAGGTTTAGGGAGGTAGGCTGAAAGGAGTGTGGGAGCAGTAAGTGGGTGAGAAAAGTTAGGGGAGGCTGAGGGGCAGGCAAGAATGAGAAGGTAAAGGCATCATGGGGGGATAGAGGCAGAGGTTCAGGCTGGACTGGGAGTGGGGGCTGGGTGGGCCCAGAGCCAGTGCGGGAAGCACAGGGCCCTGCTGTCCCCTGTCCTACCAGGGAACAGGCTTGCTGCGGGTGCCCAGTTCCAGAGCAGCCGAGTCTCGAGCCTGGTAAGAAGTTCTGCCGGTCCCCAATACCACAATCCCAGACCTCCCTCTGTGCGCTCCAGGGAGGCCCCAGTGAAGGGTCTGGGGAGGAGTCGGGTGCAAAACCTCTTTCTAACGATGGCCATTTGCGACCAATGGCTTCCTTGGTGTCTCACCTTCCCGGAGAGTCCCCTAGCGACTCTCTAGGGCAGGGCAGCACTGTCCTGGTGGGTATCTGAGGCCGTTACTCTTTGTGGGAGTAGAAAGCCTCATCTTTCTGCTGAGGAGCGCCTGGTGGTTTCAAACTGCCGGCCTTGCTGTTAGCAGCCCAGCACATAACCACTACACCACCGGAGCTTCCTGCTTGGAAATCTTCAATCTTCAGCACGATTCGCTGAGCATTTGAGAGGGGCGGAGCTTCGGGGCTCCCCGCTAGCTTCCCAACTTGCTCGCTTTTGTTCCAGGAGCAGCACGCCTCCTGCTCCGTGGGTCAGCACGTGGGCGATTCTACACTGGCGGCCGAGTTGCCCTCCAACGTGCCCTATGTGAGGCTCGACTCACCACCCTCCTTTGACAATGCCACCTACACCAGCCTGCCCCTTGATCCCCTCTCAGGAAAACCCCCATCCCGGCCCCCATCCCCCCCTCTGCCTCCTAAGGCCCCATCTGCTCCAAGCCTGTGACA